TGTGAGTATCCATCTTGTCCATCTTGGAAAGACAGATGCAAAAGATTGGAGTCTTCTGTGGGAAATAGGTCACCATTTTGAATTCTGTTTAAACAGAATCCTCAAGGGAACATCATCCTCCGTTCTTTTTGTATATTAGCTCAGGTTTTCCAGCTGTTTCTGGAACATGCATATTCCTGCCCAGCTGCTGAACTGTCTTGGTCTCTCCCAAGGTAGTTGTATTCTAAGAGAAGGGGAACAAAGTGGTCCAAAGAGACGCACACTGCCATCAGTCAGGCTTGTTCTAGTCACCTTCTACAGAACCATGCATGTTTGCAGCATAAAATGGCCCTTTGATCTCCAAGTTAGGAACATCTTCAGTAATCCTTAAGTTTTAGTGTACTTGATACTTTCTTGGAATGGAGCTGAAAAAATGCTGATTCCCCAGATCTTGGGTGGGGCCAGGGAACCAGCATCCTTTGTTCCCTTGCTTGCCTCCTGGTGATGTGATGCAAATGTTCTACATATAATGCAGTGAGAAACCTTGGGCTAAGAGATCCCATCAGCAGCATCCTCCCCTTGTGGTCCATTGTAGGCTTATTTTAACTTGCTTAGATAGCTTAGTTTCCCATTCTTCTCAACCTCTAGGTAAGAAACTCCAACAGCTGCAATTCGAGTCATTACTCTTCTGCACTTACACTTTACAGCCATCGTTTAAACATTTTCCTACTTATCTTCTGGAACCTTGTACTGTAGCCCTTCCTTTCCTAGAGCCTCAGACACAAATAACAGCCTTAGAAACTGTGGAGCTTTTCCTCCCAGCTGAGTGATCAGAAACAGCCATGGTCTGTATTATGCTACACCTTCTGGTATAAATTAGAACCCCCCAGCCTAGGCCACTTCAGTACCACCTTTTCACTGGTGTTTATTTTGTCTTGAAATTGCATTTCTTTGGTCAAGGATCAGGCACATCCATCATTAATAGTGATAATTTAAAAACCTACAAAAAGTATAACACCATCATCTTCAAAGTCCAAAGATAGTATGATATTTAGGAGTTTTTAGTGTCGTGAGCAGGAGCATATTTACTTGTCATTTTGCAAAAATGTTTATTTGAAGTTGGTGATGCTCTAATTTCACGTAGGTAAGACAAAGGAGAGTTGATTTCAATTTTATTAAATCCTAACCCTAATCCTTAGGAGGAAGGTCAAAACAATGGGACTGGACTATGGGTGTGATGACTTTTCCTCCAACATTCTCCATCTCAGAGAGACAGAGCTTGATATTCACATAGCCTCACCCACAGAGCAGACTGGCAGAGACAACAGAGACTCCCAGAGGCAACGCCTCCTGTTACCTCAGGAAACTGAGGCAAGTTTTAATCACTGAACACAATGGACGCTTATTCAAGTGCCTGTCCTTGAACCAAGCACTTGGGATCATGTCCAGCACAATGTATGGACACTGATGACCTTGTCCTTTCTAATCTGTAGGCTGATCTGGTTCTGTCCTAGGAAGCTACGCTATTGGCTCCCTAAGAGTTATGACTAAGTCATTGTTTTTCTGGCTCTTGCCTACAGTGACAGGACAGAAAAAAAAAAAAACACCATACTTTTATACCTAACATTAGGAGCACTTATGAAATGTGCTTCTGGTGGGGTACTTTCTTTGCCACTGAGGATGATGATTATAATTTATCAGATAAGAAAAGTGAACCACAGGACTCTGGAAAATCAAAACTGATTTTGTTCCAGTGGTTTGGCCATACCTCAGCATTTGTCTCTAGGTCTAATTGTGATATCTCAGGGGAATTAGCCTGACTTTCTGATCACCTTCCATTTTTAGAATCATCCTTTGAGTTTGCCCATTTCTTGTCTGGAAACTCTCAGCCTGAACCACAGTCATAGTTTCCTTGTGGGGCAGCTGTGGAGATGACTAGGTACACTGATTTCAACTGCATGTGACAGAATGGAGTGTGAAATACATTTAGCTGATCACAAGTAGCATTTTTATTTTCAATAATATAACAAAATTCCAGACTTCATTGCTTATAGGAACTTAGTGTAGATATTATTTTGTGGAATTTTATGTGTATTTGTATTGATATGTGTCACAAGTTACAAAACAGGTTATGCAGGGTTAAGGTTTAAAAAGTTAAATACTGATCTACCACTTGATTTTGATCTATAGAGGCTAAAAGCACAAACGGTGGGGTCAAACTGCTCAAGTTTGAATCCTGGCTCCATCACTGGCAAGCTGTGTGATTTTTGGGCAAATTACTTAACTTTTCTGGGCTATAGTTTCCATACATTTCACACATGTATTATGAGAATATTAATAGTGGCTACCTCATAGGGTTGATGTGAGGATTAAGAAAATTAACATTTGTAAAGTGCTTGAAACACATTGTAAGTGCTTTATAAATGTTTGTGGGGGAAAAACAATCTGTTCTCCACATATCCTTTCATATTCTTTTACATAGTGAATCAAGACAACAACATTTCTGCTCTATGGATTTTTGTAATGTAGCATATAAATATGTACTTGAAAAAAGTGGTCTGTTCTGAATTGCATTTTACTGGAATGTGTAAGAGTTCCTCAGAGGCAGACCGCTGGGTTCAAACCCCAGTTCTGTCACTCACTTGCTGTGGGACATTTGGCAAGTTATTTGACCTTGCAGATCCTCAATTTCTTTATCGATAAAGTAGGGCCAATACAGTCTATCATCTTAGGTTGCTGCCAAGGTTAAATGAGACCATCCATAGACAGTGTTTAGGGTTCAAGCAATAATAGCTATCATCATTTCTCCTGTTAGGAATTCAGATCATGTCATTGCCTCTTCTTTCCCCATGCACTGAGAGGCACCCCCTCCTTCTCGTTCATGTGAATGGTTTGCTTAAGTCCTCATTTCACTTTGGCTGTGGTGAATCAACCACATACGGGCTCAGATAAAGACCAATACTCCCGAGTAGAAAAGCAATTGGGAGGCCCAGGGCTGGATTCTGACCACCCCACTGTGCTCTCTCTTCAGCCTTGCTGTCACAACTTAGCCAAGTCAGTAGAATTGCCCTTTTGCCTCAGCAGGTACTCACATCCCCGCAGATAATCCTCAAGTGTCACAATGCAAGCCTGTCAGCCAGAGTCCTGCTTTGCAGTATGGCTGTCCATGGCAATAGGGTTATGCTATATTTCTTTCCCCTTCATCTTGGGAGGAAACTGATCAGGACAAAGCTTGCTGTCCAATATAATGAAGTGCTTTGTGTGATGTATCACTTGTAAATACCGTGATAGCATAAAAGGGCTCATTAGCTGAAGGGGCTATCAACTGGAGTCCTTCAGTTCTTAAGGATATTGGGCAAAACTGTTCTGATAAAGAGAAATCTGAGATTCTTGAGGATTTGTTCACTGTTTTCCTGTAACTCCTCTCTCCTGCCATGGCACATTGTTCTCATAGCACGACTATAGCTTTACAAAATTAATAATGGAGGTATATTATGCTGCATCAATCTTTTTAAAAATTTTTTTAATGTTTTATTTATTTTTGACAGAGACAGAGCATGAGTGGGGGAGGGGCAGAGAGAGAGGGAGACACAGAATCCAAAGCAGGCTCCAGGCTCTGAGTTGTCAGCACAGAGCCCTATGCTGGGCTCGAACTCACAGCCTGCGAGATCATGACCTGAGCCGAAGTCGGACGCTCAACCGACTGAGCCACCCAGGTGCCCTGCATCATCAATCTCTTGCTTGACCATAAGCTCCTGAAGGGCAGGGGACCTGCCTTACTCACCTTTGTACCCCCTGCAAGCACCTGGCACACATCCCAATCAGTCTGTGGAATTTAATCAGGTTGAATTTATAGCTCAGGTTGCAGTGCCAGAGCTCAGAATAGGGCTGGAGCTGAAGGCACGTTGAGGAGTCATTTATCTACCACTGCTGCACCAAATGCTGGCTTCCAAGAAATTTAAGTCACCCAATCACCCTGCAGGATGCATTCTCCAGGTCCAGGGAGGGCCTTAAGGCAATTCTTGTGCCTTTGGTGCAAGTTCTTTCTTCTAGTTCTTAGAGGTAAGGCAAGCGAAGCACTTGTTTTTGCATCCTGCTGGTTTAGAATCCAGAGCTAGCAGACAGTCAACTGGAAATTGTAAACTCTTCATGCTGTTTAGCGGATGTGGAGAGGCAGGCAATGGTTAGCGCCACAGAGCCCTTTCTAATTCAACTTTGTGTAGGATTGGGCACAGTACTAGGCACATTCTCATTCCCAATTAAATACAGGGGCATGACTTAAACTTCAAGTTAATAGACAAAAATAAATAGTTTTTGGAAAACTAACCATGTGTCCAAGCCAGGCACTCTGCTGAAGCTTATATACATACACATAAATATTTGCTCTAATTCTGCCTATAGCCTGACAAGACAGGTATTAATGTAATGTCTCTATTTCCAGCTGAGGAAACTGAGGCCAAACGAGTTTAAACGGAGACACCGTGATTGGAAATCAGGTCTGTTTAGATCCATCCCCTCACTATACCACGAAGTTTCCCTCGTTCTCCTCCAGCAGTCTAGTGGGTGCGTGTGTGTGCGTGACTGTGTTTCCTTTTAAATTTCTACTTCTGGTCAGTTTCCTCAATTCTACTTTTTCGAAACAAAGTCCAGTTCTTCTCCAAGGTCTCACCGCCCCCTCAGCCATCTCCCTGGCGTTCCAAGGCCGGCCAGCCAGCCACTCCTCCGCTAAGTTCGGAGTCCAAGCCTTCGGCTCCGATTCCACGCTCCGAGTGCCCCCTCCGCCACCGCCTCTCCCCAGTCCCGGGGGCCCCAGCGCTCCGCCGGATCCCGTAGCCCGCGCCTCGCCCCGCCTCCCCTACCTGACGCCCGTGCGGCCGGGGGCGCCGCAGCCTCCGCCCACCGGCGCGCCTGCCCTGCCATTGGCTCCCCTGGCTGCCCGTCTCCTCCGCCGGCCCCGCTCCTGCCCGGAGGCAGGTTTTGCTGGCGAAGCCGCAGTCCCGGCGGCGCGGGCGCAGCTCGCTAGGATTGTGGAGCGTAGGGCACCGGCTCGAGCTGGCCTGTCCCCGCGCGCGGGAGCCCCGGTCGGCCGCCAAATCTGGGCGGCTGGTAACTTGGCGGCGGGCTCCCGCGGCCGTGCCGCGGCCATGTAGTCGCCGGCGGGGCTCCCCGCAGCCCGGGAGCGGCAGCGAGAGCGAGCCGGAGCCGCGCAGCCCGCAGCTTTCCCTGGAGACGCTGAGTGCCCGCCGCGTCCCCGCTGCCCCTCGGGCTGCACTTTGGGCCCGAGAGGGAAATGGGGGAGAAAGTTTCGGAGGCGCCGGAGCCGGTGCCCCGTGGCTGCAGCGGCCACGGCGCCCGGGCTCCTGCCCCTGCGGTGGCCGCCGCATCCTCGCCTGGCGCTTCCTCGGCCGAGTCCTCCTCGGGCTCAGAAACTCTGTCGGAGGAAGGGGAGCCCGGCGGCTTCTCTCGAGAGCAGCCGCAGCCACCGCCGCCGGGCGGCGCCCTAGGCGCCCCGCCGCCCGCCGCGTGGGCTCCCGCGCGCGTGGTGCTTGAGCTTGGAGTCTGTGCGCCGCCGCCGCAGCTCCGCGGAGGAACCGCGCCGCCCGCGCCGCGGGGCAGCAGCGCGTCCCAGGAGGAGCAGGACGAGGAGGTGGGCCCCGCCTTCCCCCGCTCGCCCCCCTCCGGGTCCCTGCTGTCGGGAGACCTCAGCTCTCCACTCCGCGCGCGGCCCACGGCTGGGCGCCCCGGGGCGTGGAGAGGGGGAGGGACCCCAGGTGCTCTGCCCCGAGCCCGGGGTGCTGGCAGTTAGGAGCCTCCCTGTGGGTCATTGACTTCTCATGGCTGTTACCTCCGTGTGTGTGCCTTCACCTGCGGCCTGATCGTGTGCTTTTTATGTCAAAAGAGCAAACTCCTTAATGTTTGTGTCTGCTACGGTGGCTCTGTGAATGAGTGATCTGGACGCCCGGCTGGTCCCCACAACTAAGATCTTCTTTTCCGAAGTGGGCGTTGCTTCCCGCCGAAGCTCTCGGGCGGAGAGGGAGTGTGGTGAGGGGATGGGTGTGAGGGGAAGAGACGGTGTGTCTGTCCTGGCGGAAGAGTGGGAGCGGTACCCGTGGAGTTTCACCGGGGCGTGTCAGTGACGCCGGCTCCCCGGGATCACCTGCGGGTGGTTTTGGCTGGTCCCCGCAGCGTCGGTCCTCTGAGAGAGGGGGACTCCGAGCTCTCGGTCGGCGCCACTGTCGTGCACGCCTGCATCTCTCATTCGGACTTGGTCCTGGGTGTCCAGATGCGCGCTGGTTGCCAGACTGGATAGAGAACCCCTGATTTTCTTCCGGGAGACTGTTTCCATCCTGGTCTCCTGGAAGAACATTCATCCAAAACTTGTGGGTCGCGTCCTGACACATTGAGCGTATGACTTTGGTGTCCTCTAGATAGCTTTCCTTGGCTTTTTTTTTTTTTTTTTTTGTCGGGGGGGGGGTTGGGGGGGCTTTGGAGCACAGTGAGAGAAGCATAAGGTTCTTCATTATCTTTTAGATTGTTTGCTTTGGAGAGTTGTGCCTAAGTCATCTTGTTCAGGCAGGGCTATAAATAAAACATCGTCCTAACATAGAGTCCTTGTGAAGTTAATTCCTCAGTGCCAGAGTCCTATTTTTTCTTCTCTGGATGGGGTTACCTTTAGTAGGTAATTGTCTTTACCCCTCAGAATGTGCATGTTGAGGTCAGTGTCCTGCCAGTGGCCCCGAGGGACCTCATTCTGGAGGCAAAGAGTGGGTTTGGCACAGGGTGAGGGGAGTGATGTCCTGGTGAGGCAGAGATGGAGCAGTGCTGTTTGGTCGATGGCCAAGCTTCTGGCAGTAACCATGATCGATTTTCCAGTGCCCTGGAGAATTGCAAGGATCCTGGACGGGTGTTTGGAGACTTGCTTTCTGAGGTCTGAGTTATGAGCCTTAGGCAAGTGGTTTCATTCCTCTGAGGTTTGGTTTTATCTGTAGAATGAGGGGTTTGAACCAGGTAACTTAAAGTTCATTTCCACAGAAATACTCTTGTTTGCTGATCAGGAATTTAGGATGGATCAAATGTTCACATTGATCCTAGGGACAGAATGCCAGGAGTTAAGCTGAGTGCCACACCTGCCACAGAACTGTCAGAGTCCCTCAGTGGTTACATCTCATTTTTAAGATGTCAGGCATGTGCCAGGTGTGTATCCTGTGACATCTGCCTCAACTTTCAAGATGAGTGCACTTGTCATTGGGCAGCTGGGGGTATGCCCTAATTCACTGATTTACTAGTAGATTCTAATTTAGTGTTGTCATTGGTCGAGAAGATGCCCCGTGTTTTCTCTGTAGCTAGGAGAGGTTGCTCTGGGGTAAATGACACAGTCTTGCATATGGGTGGGGCAAGCAAGGAGCTTCTCACTTTTGATCCCAATTCTGTAGCTGATTTATTGCCTGGCCTCATGGTGACAGTGTTTTACTTCCTGGGAAGAGATATAATGATAGCTTATTTCTCAGGCAATGCAGTGAGGACTGGTTGATTGAAACACATTTTGGAAAGTGGAATGACTAACATTGGTCACTATTTGTGAAATCTCAGAATTGGATGTAAACTGATATAGTATTGCAATTTATTGTGTAACTGACTCTGTGGCAGAGGTTGCTGGAAGTTATCCAGGAGTGGAAATCTTGACTTGGCTGTGAGAATTTTAAAGTGAAACTGTTAACTGTGGAGGTTTTTTTTTTTTTTTTTTTTTTTCCTCCTCAGGGGCCGAGAAGTGGTAGTCTTGGTGAAAGGCGTTAAAGTCCAGTGTGCATTTTCTGGTTTTACCTGGGTGATGGTATGGTGCAGTGATTTTTAATCTTTTGTGGGATGGTAGGCTTCTTTGAGAATCTAATGTCAGCTCTCCACTGGCTCCTCAGAAAATGCACACAACTACAAGCACCATTCCAGAGGGTTCAGTCAGGAACACTGGGTTGCAAACACTAAGTTTAGTGGGAAGACATGGGTGTGCTTCCCAGCTCTGCCGCATTAACTGGCTGTGGGATTGTGGACCATTCAATTAATTGTAGCCCCAGTTTTTTCACCCTTAAATGGGAATCACAACAATAGAGTTGTTAGGCATTTTATACCTGCGATTTTATGTAATCCTAGCACACTAATATATAGCACGAAGTGCTAAGTAAATATTAATTTTTCAAGTTCATTGGTGATGAAAATCTTGTGACATGGAAGTACGAACTTGGGCTGGCTTGTTATTTTTATGCGTAATTAACCTGCTACTTTGAGAGAACCTGAGGCTGTGTCTGCTCAGGTTATTCTCATTTTATTAGCATAAGCTGGGAAACAGATTTCATTTGAATCAGGTCGTATTATGGCCAGGCACTGTTAGAGTAATGTCCTACTATGGCAAGGTGCTGAATATAATGCTTTAAAAGGCTTAAGTGCAATGCATAAAATGGAAAGAGGTTCATTTAGATCTTTAAATTGTTATGTCTAGCTTGGGAGAGTCATTGTTTTCCAAAGTGTTTTTTTTTTTTTTTTCTTCTCAAAATAACTTACTGTATCACTTTTTATTTATTTATTTATTTTTATTTTTTTCTGCATCACTTTTTAAAAAGCACCAAAGTTCTAGACGCCTGGGTGGCTCAGTCGGTTAAGCACCTGACTTCTGCTCAGGTCATGATCTCATGGTTTGTGGGTTCCAGCCCCGCCACAGGCTCTGTGCTGACAGCTTAGAGCCTGGAGTCTGCTTCAAATTCTGTGTCTTCTCTCTCTGCCCCTCCCCTGCTCATGCTTGATCTCTCTCTTTCAAAAATAAACATTAAAATAAATTAAAAAAAAAAAGCAAAATTCAAGTATGTGGTGTATAATTGCAGTGCTAACTTGTTTTTGGCAACCTTGTTGAAGCTGATTTGAGTATATCAATAGTGTTTGACCTATTATGTATTTTATCTTACTATCAATATTTGTGTGAACTTACTAGGTATCAGAGACCTAAATCAGCCCTTTACACTTTTGTTGCTTAAAAACAATAAGAAGGCAGTGTTTGCATTCTTCTGTATTTAAACACCTGGGAGTTAGAGATGGTGCATATCACTTAGTTTAATAAACTGCATCTGACTTCCTCCGCTGCTTTCCTAAGCCTGTGCATTTGGAGTCTGCGGGTGTTGAGGGTTGGTGGCTCTGTCGATCTACAGGCATCTATCTAGATTGGGGGACTGTTGCTGTGACCACATTTCTGAGATTTACTTGTAGGCAACTTTGTCCTGTCTTTTCCCAAAGTACCGTGTGATGACACTAATGAAGTACTCAGGTACCGTTTGCTGTCTATCACTGACCTCCCCGGGGGCAGGGATTTTGTCCTATATGCCTAGCACAGTACCTCTAGTATATTAGTATGGACTCAGTGAGTATATATTGAATGAATGAGGAAAAAAGGACATCTTTGAAAATAGTTATGCATTTGATTGAACGGTGACTGTGTGTGTTTTCATTTGTTGTGTATGTTGTGCATTATGCCCAGACCTCTAGATCTTTTATCAAAAATACCTCATGGATCCAGGTAAAAAAATTTTTTTTTGATCCAGGTAAATTTTGAACAAAGCTAAATCACTGAGGATCCACTCAAAATACCTTTAAAGGGACTTGTGTATTAAATCCGCTTTTCACTGTGTCTATTAGAACTTGAAACTTGGAAGGATTCTTAGAATGGCTGAAAAAGAAAAGGCTTAGTGGTTAAAAGGATTTTCAACTCCATATATAAAGTGGCTCATTTATACTCTGCTATACTAAAAGGTTTGTTTTATTGACGTACGTTGGGGAACAGTTTCCTGCGTGACAATAGGCACAGTCATGGGATGTCTTTGAACTGTTCTATTGAATGGTGTTGAGTGCTGCTCTTAATAATACCTGGGATGTGTTTTTGGGATTCCTGCACACAGTAGTGATGCAGTACATGAATTTCTGCTGTTCATTGTTTAAGAAAATAAATAGCGAAAAACAACTATGAATTCAGTAAAGCTTTTCATTGAGTTTGAATTTTATTTTATTATTTTATTAACGCTTATTTATTAGAGAGAGAGAGAAAGCATGAGCATGGGAGGGGTAGAGATTAGAGACAGAGAGGGAGACACAGAATCGGAAGCAGACTCCAGGCTCTGAGTTGTCAGCACAGAGCCCTACAGGGGGCTTGAACTCACAAACCGTGAGATCATGACCTAAGCCGAAGTTGAACGCTCAACCAACTGAGCCACCCAGGCGCCCTGAGTTTGTATTTTATTAATCACAGCAGCTACGTAATTTGAACAAAAGCAGTGCATAAATCTTGGTGCATTTATTATTTTGTCTACTTTTTTGACTCACTATTTCGATAAGAGAGTTGAGAAAATCAGTCAACCAATATATATTGCATGAGACTCTAGTGACGCATTGGCCTCAGCATTAAGGACATGAAAGTGGATGAGACAGAGATAGTTTGGACCCTACAAAGCTTCTAGTGTAGTTGAGGGAGATGGTCACACAACACACGATTATTAATTAGTTGGTTTCAAAGGAAGTAAATGGAACAGAGGAGCAGGCTGTGAGGGAGTGTGTCTATATCATGGAGCTCTCTTAGTCTGGGAGGTGAGAACTGCCTCACTGAGGAGGTGATGT